CCCATGTTTCCAGACTTCAGGTGGAATTCCGTCAACCCCAGCTGCCTTCCCAATTTTCACCTGCTGTATGGCCTTAAGGGTTTCTCCTAAAGTGGGGGCAGTATCCAATTCATACTTCACTGGTTGTTGTGTGATACCCAGAACATTTAGGTGTGGGTTGATGGACATTTTAATGAAAATTATTATGCTTATAGCTGATACTATTTTGGATTTCCTTTCATATTAAAGAGAAACCCCAACCAAAACCCCTCAAAGCAACCTAAGAAAATAAGATACTTTGGTTTTGTGTACATGATGTTTTTACTTCCACTTTTTTGACAGTTCTTTTTTGCACCTAGTGCCTACTGAAAAATTGCCCACTGTACTCATGAAAAAAACAACAACGGTCTATTTTCATCACTATTTTACATGAGAATGGAAGACCTTCAAGAATGAAGAACTTTTTTAAAGAATATATTTGAATCATGGTTTTTATTTGTCATACTGTTCTAGTTAGTGTGGCTTAACTTTTTTTATCAGATTGAAAAATTTACATGCATAGACTCTCTCTTGATTTTGCATGTCAAAAGGACTTGCTTTGTGACTAACTATATTGATAAGAATCACTCCTCTTGATTTTGAAAAACAAAATTTCAAACCCCAGGTAATAATGTTTGTTCACTCAGTGTAAGGAGAAAGTATCTGTATTATGTTTGATGCTTTCACTCATTTTAGTCTGCTTGTCTGTAATGGTAGCTGCAATATAAGTAACAGGAAATGGACAGTTTTGATTTACCTACCTTTGAATGCTGTATTTGTTAAATCCCATTTTGAGACAGAGAAACAGGAAAATTTATATTACACTGAGCACACTACCATAAATGCTAAGTAATAAGCAAATAATTTATATTAGGGGAAAAGGTTAAAGAGATTGATAAAGTCTAGTTTTGCTCCACAGTGCTGTCTTTTAGAACTATAGGGTAAAATGTTTGTGTTATATATATCCAGACATTGCTGAGTTGCAGTGATTATTTGAAGACATCCATTTAGTCATGGCTTGTGTGTCTGGCAAAAATTACCATTGAATGTTGTGTAAAATTTTGAAACTGCATGGAATTATGATGACCAGGAGTGACTTAAATTACTGAAAAAAACATGGGCTTTTAATAAATAATATGAAAATTAGAAAAGCCTTTTATCATTTTGATAGACTTTGTTTTGTGTATCCTTTTCTAAGGAACCATCTGAGAAGGTGCTGGTCATAGTTTATTCTTCTTTTTCTTGTAGGCTCAGCATGAGAAAATTATTTCACAGCAGCAAGCTATCATAGTAGCAACTCAGTCTGCTCAAGCACTGCTGGAGAAACAAGGGCACTACCTTTCCCCTGAAGAAAAAGACAAGATGCAAAGGAACATGAAAGAGCTGAAGGCTCAGTATGAGACTGCTTTAGCCGAATCAGAACGGAAAATGAAACTGACTCATTCTCTAAGAGAAGAACTGGAGAAATTTGATGCAGACTATAGTGAATTTGAAACCTGGCTGCAGCAGGCAGAACAAGAACTTGACAATTTGGAGGCAGGGGCTTCTGACTTCAGTGGTATTATGGTCAAACTGAAAAGGCAGAAGAGTTTTTCAGAAGATGTTATATCTCACAAAGGTGATTTGCGGTATATTACAATTTCTGGACAAAGAGTTTTAGATGCTGCAAGGTCATGTAGCAAAAGAGATGGTGTGAAGGTTGACAAAGATGGTATCGATACTTCAGCAACATACACTGAAGTGCAAAATAAACTGGATAGTGCCTCAGATCGCTTCAAATCCCTCTATACTAAAGTAAGTTTTATTTATACTGAATTGGAAAGACTATTGTAATTGATTTAGCAGTTTGTATAGACAGGAGTTAGCTGATGAAACAAACACTGTGGGAAGTTGTAAATTCTTTTTTTCTCAAAGTCAAATAACAGAACAAGATGCTTTTCTAGAAGATCTGCTTTAGTCAAGTGCTGGACTATTTAACGTCTGAATGGATGAAATTTTCTACTTCATGTTATAAGGGACAAATGGAACCAGATTTCTTCATTGTTCTTTCCAGCCTTTAACAAACTCTGAATTTGTGGTGGTACAGGATATCTGAGTAACATTTTGGGGTGGAAAGAAATTGTAATACTTTTAGATGGATAACATTTCTTTATGTTACTTGCAATATTTCCTACAACTGCTTGTTTACTTGGCTTCCTATTAATAAAATGAGTGCAGTAAGAGAGGAACTATGCCAAGAGTAACATGCAAAATTTCAGATTGGTTTGTATCCTGAAGTAGTTTGTCCCAATGTGACCTTTGTTGTCTACACTAGGCATGCAGGAACATAGTCATTTGAAGATAGAAATTCTTTTCTGCTGCTCTGCCAAGTAAACATTTTATCTAACAATCTGAGATTAGTCTATAACTAATGAGTAATTAGCAATGCAAATCCTCCATGTACCTTAAAGAGGGAAGATAATCTATCTCTCTGTGCCAGGTTCATGTATGGAATCTGTCTGGTAGAATTAGACAAACATCACCAACTGGTCTCACATGCCAAATTTCCAGCTGTTTTCAAAAAACCAACACCTTGTTCAATATTGAAAATATTCCAGAATTTTGAACTTTTGGGATAATTATTAATTGAACCATTTAAGAGAGAGTTGCCGTCAGTATCCTTTGACCATGCCATTTCATAATTTTCTAAGATCATAGGTTCAAATTCCTTAGTAGAACTTCAGTGTCCACTGGTACTGTGTTGGCCTGCAACAGTGGCCATCTTTGTCTGGAAATTTTTATCTCTTTAAGGTTTTTTTGTCAGAAGTATAAATTATGTAAAGACACGGATTTGATTGCTTGATTACGAAAACAGTGTAAAACTTGTTTTCTCGGTATGTGAAGGTAGCTCTTCATTTACAAAAGCTCGTTTTCATTTTCCCATTCAACTTGTATGAACAGGGAAGCTAAAGCTTGTTAGATTTTCTGCAGTTGGTTTATTGGATTAGTCTTGAGTATGAATGTAAAGATTTCATTGCAAAATTTTCAGAGAGCTTTTTTTTATGCACATAAAAACACTACACCAGCAGCTTGATTTTTGGTCTCGTATTTGTCAACTTACAAATTCTGTTCTTTCCATATATAGATTTAGTAGAGTTATAGTAGACATACTTTAAATATTTGACAGTAATTATCCAGAGCAAAGTAGACTTTTCAAGTCTTGAAGGACAGAATTCTAAAAAGTGAGATCATCCCCAATTAGTGAGATCTTCTAAGTGGTAAATGAATTTATAGTAACCTTTTTGCCTTTTGTAAAAGCTTCTTGCTTTTAATAAATACTTATATTGCTTTTCCTTATATATATATGCATTTGCACATATGTGAGACGTTTTTATAGGCGTATGTGTTGAAGAAATCTTAAAGTCAGTTCTTGGTTAACTGGTTATGTAAATGAATGTGTTCTATGTCTGCCCACCAGATGGAGACCGAGTACCATATGTAAACATTAAAGTAAAGTGCCTGGAAGGTTCAGAGTATAAATATTTAATGTAACAGTTTGTAAATATTATCACTTGATACAATCATATTTTGCTTGTGAAACCATCTTCAGAAAGTCTGAAAGAGTTCCACTGACATTTTTACATGATAATTCACTGTAGACATTTTGGGGCATGCTGATGTATAGGACTAATAGGATCTTGTTCAGATGAGATTTTTAAGTGACCAAAACAATGCATATGTACAGTACTGAGCCATATCACTTTGGATTCACTATGCAGGTAAAGTATTTATGAAAGCAATACTCCACTGTCTGTATTTTAATGAACGTACATATCTCTCCTGATTTTTTTTTTTAATTTGTGGTTTCCACTGGCTACATTATTGATGTCAGAGTACTGATAAAGAATCTTCACACTGGTGAATCAAAAAGTATTCCTGAAGCTCTTCTTATTCTAGTGCTATGGGTTAGATTGCAGTTTCCCAATGTATCGGTAAATTGATCCTAAATCACCTTTCAGGAGCACAAACTGGGAAGACCTGCATAGCCTGTCCAGCTGTCATGTCTTAGTTCAGAAATCAGGTAGACAGTGGGATGATGGCAGGAAAAAATCATGCAGTATTTCAGGAAGGAAGGAATGTATGACTTTGGTATGGAATGCAGCACACAGTTTAATGCCTGGGTATTTGCTTGTTTGTTTTCTACTCTTTTAGTGTAGCATCCTTGGAAATAACCTTAAAGACCTGGTGGATAAATACCAGCATTATGAAGATGCCTCCTCTGGACTTTTGTCAGGTCTCCAGGCCTCTGAAATAGCTGTGAACAAACAACTATCAGAGCCAATTGCAGTGGATCCCAAAAATCTCCAAAGACAACTTGAAGAAACCAAGGTGAAAAGCTTTAAAAAGCAAAAGTACTTTTGTCCTAAAAGGAACTGCTTTTTGTCTGAAAAACAGGATGATCTAATATAATCCAAGTGGCTGCAGGCCACTTCAATTCTTGCCCTTCATGTGGGCATGCAACTTTTCTGGTTCTGGAATTTGGCAGTCGGGGGTGATACCTGAGAAGCACTGAAAAGAAAAAGGGGTGCCAAGACGGTATTAGCAGTGGTGAAAGCAAGATGTGTTTTATATCACTTAGCAAAATCTGGAAAGTTTTTGAATAAGATAGGATTTAGTGATTACAGTTGGCTATTGGAATAGGGCTTGGGATAGAATTCCTTATAGAGAAGTCCATTTGATTGTTGTCTGTGACTCTTGATTTTTTTCTGTTCACATTTGTGTGTTACTTCATTATGAAAGGGATCATACCAGATAAGCAGTGTGATGTGAGTAGTCTATTTGCCTGCTTCAGTTGCATCCAGTGTTATATACCCTGCAGAGAGTGAATGTAACATAATTTGCACTGTGCAGAAAACCAGTATTTTTTATTTTTCCCCACTGAGCATGTAACTCATGTCTTTATGTAAATCCTAGTAGAGGCAAAAAAAAGTTAGTGATAGAGCTTCTGAATGTAAAACTGCAGTCAGCTGCATGAAGTGTAGGTTTAGAGAAAGCTTTAGGAACTCAAGTATAAGGTCATTTATATGAAGTTTCATACACTCTGGCATCATTGAACTGACTCATATTTTCATAAACACATTCCATCACCTATAATATAAACAAACTGAAGATTATTTTTCAGTGAGCAAGGCTATTGGACCAGCATTTCCTCACTGTTTTATCTGTGTTCTGTGGAGTATCAGTGCAGGCTGGATATGTTTACTATTGACAAATCATAGTCAATGGCTTTTGGAAAGCCCATGCTTTAACCATTTCCCTTACATCAGCCTGAGCAGTAGTTACCTTTACCTATGGTACCTTTCAAATCCACATTTGCAATTGCCCAACACTTTGGTGCATGACATCAAAAGGAGACAAATAACAGCTATGTTTAAGACAACAAAATTAAAAGTGTAAGTTTTGGACTTGTAACAATGAAACAATTTAGGCACATTTGTGCTTCCAAGTGCTAGAAGAGAAGAATAACACCAATCACAATTTGAAGCTTCATTTAAACTTTTTGTTCCTTATGCCAAAGTGAATTCTATTCTCTATAATGCAAATTTTCATGGAAGTAATACAAAAGGAGTGAGTACTGGGGTTCTTTTTATGAAATGTCTAAATGGATTAGTTTCCACACAAAAGAGCACTCAATGAATATGAGTTGGGAAGAAGGGAGAGGGTACAACTTGTCAAAAGATTCAAAGGAAGAGAAAAAACAGGAGGCTGAAGAAAGAAAGCCAATTAATGAAAGCAAAACAAAGAGTATTTTGAAGAAGTCAGGTGTTGCAAGTTAAAGCTGTCCCTTGTAGCCAACACATGCAGCTGATAACCCAGCTAGACACAGACCTTGGCAGCATGATGAGGTCTAATCCTTTTATGGGGATTAACTGTTCTTCAGAATATTCTTCAGAGCCTCTGGCATCAGCTTGCTTGCCTTCTGCCAGCATACAAAGTTTTCTGGTACATCTTTTTTTTTTTTTCTTTCTTTCTTTTTCTTTTATATTTTTTTCCACACAAGTACTAGTGTAAGGGAAGTTCCTCTTCAGGTCTCTCTGAGATTCATTGTGTCAGTTTGGTTAGCAAGATGTACTGTGATCTGGTTGTACTCTGGAGGCCATTGTTGAATGCACTGACATGTCTTCTTTGTCCTGGCAGGGCACATAGCATTTACCTTTTGCTTCATATATTCATTGAGTTAGTGTGTATCAAAAAATAAATGAGAAGCACCTTCATTTTGGACTTGTATAACGTGCAAGTGAATAAAAACAAACGTACATCATACAGAGATGCACCTAGCACAGAGGCCTAAAATAATTTAAAGATTATTTACACTAAAGTACTTTGATGTAGTGGAGAGACAAAGCGACTTTTAGAAGTTGATTCATCCTTACTGTCTTTGACTCTGGAGTGAATCATGGCTGTGCTAGTATCTAAACATGTGTTCCTTGGTTAGATGGACAAACGCAGGAAAAATTCAGTGACACTGACTCCAGGAAGTTCTTGTCTGTGAAGGCAATCATATTGTTTCAAACTGTTCCTATTTACACTATGATATCAGCCTGATCCTTTGTCAATACTACTTGTGGTGAATGTGTAACTGCTGCTGCTGACTGTATGTTTTTCCCCTGAATTGTTGTCGGATGCTGAGTTGAAAAATATGTTTATTATATGGAGTCTGTACAAGTGGTCTTTAGAAACAATTAATCAAAAGACACATTTTGAAGTTACATGCAAGAAATCAGTTGAGTCGGACAAGCATTCTAAAACAGAAGACAAAAAAGATGGTGAATGAACTAAACAAGGGCCAGAAGGTCAACAGCATTCAGAGCCACTCATCAGGATTTTTCTTAGGGAGAGGTCAGAAACTGAATTAGTTTATTCCCAGCACTAAGTTTAGGTTGTATGATGTATCATACCTTGCAAATGTAACTATCAACTGTACTGAAAAGCATAACTGATAATAGTGAAATTTTACAGGTTCTTCAGGGACAAGTGTCTAACCACCAAATTGCTGTAGAAAAACTGAAAAAAGCTGCTGAAGTGTTATTGGATACAAGGGGAGAGCTGACACCAGACAAAGATGAGATTCAGAAAACTCTGGGTAAAATATTTGCTTTTCTTAATACCTCTTTTTATCACTTGTGTGTGCATGCAGGTTGTGGAAGAGACAAAATACAGAGCTTCCACATTCTTGTGTCACTGTTCAAGTCCATGTTTTGTTAAGTCGTAAGCCATTACAATACAGCAACTTCATTGTTGGTCTCTCTCCTACATTGATCCATATGCTTTTCACTTAAAAGCTGTCATTTCATTTTTGCACTTTTTTTTTTCCCCAAAATAGGGATTGCCAAGCAAAGGTAGTGATTTGCTGAGGATCATAAATTCTTCAGTGGGAAGGAGCATGTTCAGGTTCAAGAAACATTACTTTAACTACCTATTTCCAAGCAGTTATTTGAAGTTTACTGAGCTGAGGAATTATTTCCTTCTGACTTTAAGAAACTAACTGTGATGAGGTTGACCTTGGCTGGCTGCTCTTTCACTTCCCTTGCCCAAGCGGATGGGGGTAGAAAATAAGATGGAAAAGCCCGTGAGTTGAGATAAATACACTTACCAATTACTGTCGTGGGCAAAACAGACTCGACCTGGTGAAAATTAACTTTCATTTATTGCCAAATAAAGCAGGTTTCAAAAGTGAGAAACAAATACAAATTACAGCAATGCTATCCTCCACCTCACTCTTTTTTTCCAGGCTCACTGTCACTCCTTCCTTCCCAACTACTCATATCCTTCCTGCCAAACAGTGCAGTGTGGATGGAAAATGGGTGACTGTGGTCAGTCCGCAGCAGCTACTCTCTTCTCTGCTTCTCCTCCTCATGTGTTTCCCCTTCTCCAGTGCAGGACCTCGCCACAGGCTGAAATCTTTTGGGATAATAGGATGCAGTTTCTTCAGGAAATAACCACCTCCTCATGCACTGTGGTTATCTGCTCCAGCATGCTCCTCCACAGTTTTCAGGGGAATCTCCGCTCCAGCAGCTGGAACACGTCTTATCCCTCTTTCTTGTCTGACCTTGATGTCTGCAGGCTGGTTTTCCCACTTTCTTTTCCCTCATTTCTCAGTCCCATGCAGTGTTTTCCCCTTTCTTAAATACATTTTCGAGAGGCACCACCAGCTTGGCTGAAGAGATCAGCTGTGCCTTCTGGCGGGTCAGCTGTAGTTGGCTGAAATCATCTGTGTCTTTCATGGGGTAGCCCTTGGCCTCTTCTCATACAGGTCAAAAAACTTGTGACTAACAAAACCTTACACCACCAAAACATTAACACCTACACTCAATACTTTTCCACTATCAGTTGTGAGAAGTAGCACAGCATGACATTCACCACTGTCTAAAGTTTGAAGACTGTGTATCACACAACTCTCTCTTACTGGAATCCCAAAAGTAACTTGCAGAACAACAAAAAACCCAACTGTAGGCTTGTCTCTTTGGAGCTGGTGATGAAACTCCATAGGAGATATATGGAGCTTGTAACTTTCAGAGAGTTATCTCGAAAGTGTTGAATGTCTAAGGAAGAAACATCTGGAAGAACTTCTCAGCTCTCACAATAACACAAGAGACATAATTGTAGAAGACCTGTCTTAATAACCTGCTATTTTATTCTTGGTAACAGTCTACAGCTGTCTTAAGGTAGAGCTTCATTGGAACCAGTTTCTAAAGCTGGGCACTACAGCTGTAAGCTGCTTCCTCATTTCCCTTGTCTTGTGTGTTTCTTTGCTCTGTTTGAGGATTTTGATCTTTGATTCTGCATTATTAGTGACTGAAGCTGATATTTTTTTCTTCATTCTGATGTAGCAATTTTTGACTCAACTGGTAAGAACGGGTAAAACGAGTTAAAAGCTTAGTTTGACTAGAGGAAAATATTGAAATTATTTTCTCTTTATCAGATGGTATTGTGGAGAGGTATGACAATTTATCCAAATCTGTGAATGAAAGGAATGAGAAGCTTCAAGTAACTCTGACACGATCCCTAAGTGTGCAAGATGGTTTGGATGAAATGCTGGATTGGATGGAAGGAGTTGAAAAGGGCCTTAAGGAACAAGAACAAGTGCCTTTGAATTCTGCTGCTATTCAGGATATTATTAGTAAAAGCATTGTAAGTAGCATTCTTTGAAAGAAGAAACATATGTTTCATAATGCAGATTTCAAGAAAGAATTAAAATCTTAGTTTGTCACCTTTAATGGATTCAAAATACTTGATAAGAGGACTGTTATGTGAAGTAAAACTGCACATAAGGATTTTTGTAGCTGAAATAGATCTACACTGCTGGTCTAGCTGTACTGATTTATTGCTTTATATGGTGGACCAGGTTTACTTCTTAAAATTTAGTTTTAAGGAGTGCAAAGCAGTTCTGTTTGTTTCAGATGCTGGAACAAGACATTGCGGGTCGCCAAAGCAGTATAAACACTATGAATGAAAAAGTGAAGAAGTTCACGGAAACAGCAGATCCATCCACTGCATCCACGCTGCAAGCGAAAATGAGTGAACTTGCAGGACGGTTTTCTGAAGCAAGTAACAAGCATAGAGAGAAGCTTCTGAAAATGGAGGAGTTGAAGACTAAAGTGGAGTTATTTGAAGGTCTGTCAGAAAAACTTCAGTCATTTCTAGATGAGAAGAACCAGGCCCTCAGTGAGACAGAGGCACCAAGAAAAGATGTCAGTGAAGTGTCTCAGTACATGCAGGTACTGTAGCATTCAATTTGTATATATTGTGTATTTTTAGTCTAACTCCTCTAAGTGATTGAACAATAAATAAGGCATGCTTTTTTCCCAGCTTTGGTTGGTTAGCTAAAATCAAGAGTTTAATTTTCAACTAGTGATTGTTAAGTCTAGTATGAAGAATGTAATCCTATTTTGCAGGAAGCTAGTGTAGAATTGGCACAACACAAGAAGGATCTGGAAGTTTTGAAGCAGCTTCTTGAAGAACTTTCATTCCATGCTCTTCCTGGAGATAAAGCATTGGTATCAGAAAAAGTAAATGCTTTATCTAAGAAATTCAAAGAGGTAGAGGAGACTATAAAGGAAAAGTAAGTTGAATAATCAAAGTGTTTCCGCTTTGGCTAATAACATAGTGTGAATGTTGTGATGACTGCTATCCTTTTGTGTGCAATCTCAAGAGACTGCAGTTAACCAAAGTGAGGGATTTTTATTTAAAGAGAAAGATTCTATTTGAAAATGCCTCTGTAGTTAGTCTGTCTGGCTCAAGAGCACTAATATGGACTGTAAAGACAAGTAACTTTTCAAATTTGCAGGAGTCCTGACAGTTTTAAGAAAACCCTTCTCCCCTTCTCTGATAGAACAGAAATTGCTGCTTGTGTATATTGCTTTAGAGTACCATTTGGCATCAAGCTGCAAAGGAAAACTGGAGAAATTATAGAAGATTCCATATATAGCAAGACTAGATTTTGTACATTCTGCTTATATCCCTAACATTAGCTTTTGTGACACTTTGAATTTAGGAATAGTGATATTGGATTGATAATATCAGTTGGTTTAATTATCAGATGGAATACTAGCATTCCTTTAATTGTTTTTAATTGTCTAGAGAAGAGGATGTATCTTCTTGTCAGAAACAAATGGATACTTTTGAGCTCCTTGTAGAATCATTAAAGAAATGGATAAAAGAGACCACAGGACGAATTCCAGCAGGACAACCCTCCCTGAATACAGAAGAGTTAAAGAAACCTTTGGAAGATACACTGGTAAGCTATTGTAGAGGAAAAGTGAAATCTGGCTGAAAGAACTAAAGGATCTATTACAAACATTAAAGTACAGATTTAAGGTGTAAGCAGTCATAGTGACTGGGATTAGGGAACTTGCACTCTGCATTTACATTCACATTTCCTTTGCATGTTTGCAGGGGATTCCCAAGTAGCAGAGTTGTTCCTTTCTTTACAATAAATCTTTTAAGTCTGAAATCAGTTTTGTAATGATCAAATTACTATCTGTCTTAACCAGAATTTAAAAGATGAATGGACATTAAAAGCACCTGAACTGCAGAAAATGAATAGCAGAGGAACTTTGCTGTGTAACCTAATTACTGCTGTGACTTCTCCTGCAAAACTGAGAGCAGTTGCCAAGTCAGGTATGCATTTGTATAATCAGGTAAGCCTTATATTTCAGGAATTTTTAAAACCTTTAAGACAAAAATTAAAATATTTCACCTTTGGATTAGCATTCTGAATATTATGGCTCGTGAGAAGTCATTTAGCTATGTCTCTTCTGACCATTGTATGCTATGATTCTCATTCAAACTGTCTAATTGCTGTAGTAATTCAACACACATTCTAATTGTTTTACTCTGCCAAAATTGTGTAAAAGTGCTCTGATGTTAATGATTAACAGGTCCTAAAGCTGTTACTTTGGTATGTAGTTCTCAGATAATGAACAAAATAGCAGTATCACAGTTGCCTTCACCTCACCCCAGAAAGCTTCTGATACTGAGAAGTCGACTTACTCTGATCAGTGTTCATTGCTGCACTGTCTTCAAGTCTGCAAGCAGGAGAAATACAAACCTTGCTTTTGCAAACACTGATGTACCTGCACAGAGATACCTCTTTAATGGCCAGAAGGCTATTCTGTGATACCAGGCAAACACAGAAGGGTTTGCAGAGTCATGGAATTTTTGTTAGAAGAGTAATGAGGACATGATTTACCTAAAAAGTGAGCCTAGGCAAACCTACTTGTCCCAATATAATAGTGTAATTAATGCTAGTCAGTGTTTTAGTTGAAACAACAGCACAGAAGGGTAGCGACTTCATATCCCAGCATGATTTTCCTGGGCCAAAATGTTTTTTCAGTCTGGACCTTCAACTGAATTCTTTTTTACTGGTAATCAGAATTTAAAGGCAGCAAGTCTATTTTCACGATTTTCTGTACTCCAGTGTCAAATGTTAATTTGTTCTACAGAAACGAGTTATTCTTCTAAGTATCATTCCAGCTACAGTTCAAGGATGTGGTACCTTGGGTGTTTTAATGACCATAAGCACATTTTCAGTCAATTCTTGAACTGACTAGGTCTGGAAATAAATTCAAGTGTATTGGCCTTCATTGGTCAACTGCAAAGCACTGGGAGGATGGGGACTGCCAAAGGATACCTAGTGGGAAAAAGTAGAACACTTCCTTTCTCACATCTCTTTGTAGTAGCCGCCTGTGGTTTCATTTTTGTTTGAACTTTTAATAAAAATCTTTCAAGGAACATTTCGGAACCTTATTTGGGCTCCTTCCTCTAGCTCTTTCTCTGCTTCTATGCATCCAAATAGAAAAACGGTTAAATAACTATCATGTAAGAGCAGCTGTAATCCTTCAGGCTAGAGCATTTGCCCTCCTAGACAAGAGCTTTACTGTGTTTCACTTTAGCACAGTTAAAAATACTAAAGTTGAGCTAATAGAGCATGAAGATTTACAAGACTCTGGCAGGGGCCTGTGACTTCTCTTATCTGGTTTGTTTTCTCTTGCCATCCTCCAGCTGCCACTAATGTGGTCCTCACTGTCCAGCTGGTACTGTAGGGTGGATGCATAGCCTTTTCCAAGGAAACCATTAATCTTTCTCTGTTAATTGCTCAGCTGGGAATACATATGTGCAGGAGAGTGGGAAGTGATTCTCCTTGCAGTTCTCTGCGCATGATCACGTGCCCCAGCTCTGTGTCTGACAGTGTTTTAGAAAGCTCATGTAGCTCTGGTTCCAGAGGCTCTGAAATTATTTTAATTAGTAGGGGTGTCTGGATGAGTGGCTGCCTCCAAGTGACAGTAAGGACTTCAAGTCTAACAGTAAGGACTCCACTGAGCAATCCTTGTCATGGAGCACGTGCTGAAGTCTTGCTTATGACAATACAGGGAGGGATTAATCCAATTGGTATCAAGAGCTTTTTGTGCAGAGGTACAGTGGTAAACCATAGAGTCATTTAAGTTGGAAAAGACCCTTAAAATCATCAAGTCCAGCCATTAACCCAGCACTGCCAAGTCCAGCACTAAACCACGCCCCTAGTGCCATGTCTACATGTCCTTTAAATACCTCCAGGGATGATGTCTCAACCACTTCCCTGGTGGTAAAGGTGCCCTAAGCACATATGAACATATGCACGTGCAATGCATATGCTGTGCATATGCAGTACCACTTATGGTACTAACTGGCTGGAGCTTTATTCTTTATTCTTAATGTTGTAGTAATAGCTATCTTGCTGTTTTGAAGAGGAAATGCCGTGCTGGGGGGTGGTCTTCCTGGGTGGGAGTAAGCATGAGACTTCATCTCTCTTGATCCACAGGTGGCACAATATTAAATGGTGAAGCAGGAGCTCCAGGAACTCAGGATTTCCTGAAAAATAAAGGTCAGTAAAAATTTCAGCATGTGATAAAGAAATGTACTTGCCAATTGCTGATAAATATGGATGTATTTTTTAATGTTGTATATAAATCTGTTTGTTCACATCACCATCTCATAAGAAAATTATATTGACTAGGGAATGATACTAAAATTAATTATAACAATACCTATCATTATTTTCTTTGAAGACAGACTAAATCGGGCTGTGTTTCGTGACTCAAGATATAATTTTATAAATGTATACAAATATATTTTGATATAACACATGGCTTTTGAGAAAAGCCTAATACGTGTCTATGGGGTTTGAAATTTTAACACCCACTAGCACTCACAACACACATATACACAAGTATATGTATACAAAGACACCCATTTCATATACGTTTGTGTCACTGTGACAAAGGATCTTACATAAGACCTTTATATACCGGAACTGTAGCCTAGCATGTTCAACTTTTTGTCAGGGAATTGGTGCTTAAAATACTAAAAAACAACGGGTAGAAAGATTGAAAGGTGTTTATGTAACTGTATGTATTGAAAAACTGATTTCTGTGAAATGAGAAGTCCTTGCAAATAGGAACTTATATTAGCTCATTCAGATGTAGTGTTGCCATATTTAGAGTGAATTGGAAATCACTCTAACACGTTCAGCAACTTCTTATTTGGGGGACTATTAGCTATTGTAACTAGTACTGTTTAGAAGTCCAGGTGATATTGTTTGAAAGGCTTGTAACTTCTAACATAGTTTTTGTGCATTTTTCCTTTTACAGAACTGACAACTGTTCAACAAGCTATGTCTGATGTAAATCACAGTTATGAAGATTTGGGAGTTTTATTGAATGAAAAGATTTCAGAACTAGAAAGTATGCTTTCAAAAATGCAAAATATTCAGGAAGAATCAACCTCAATGATGCATTGGTTGCAAAAAATGGATAAAACTGCATCAGACTGGGAAGCTGCTCCAACTGATAGTGAAGCGGTTAAAGTCCAAGTTGAGCAACATAAGGTAGTTTGTGCCTTCAAAAACATACTCTTTTTTATTGGTTATTGGGCAGATGCTGTGACATAACTGATATCTCAGCCTAGCTTAATGTTGCTGAGAGTATTTAGATGATCCTAGTAACCATGTCAGTCAGGCTTAGAGCAAATCTGGCAAACTCTGTCAGTGGAGAAAGGAGCACCGTGTCAGAGAGAACCAGTTTTGCAGGTCAGAAAATAGTAATTTTGGTGGACAGTTAAAATAGGTGAGGCTCTATTGATTATGCAATTAACTTTTTTGCTCTCCTTAGAGGTTTAAAGGTATATACTAGATTACTTGTAATATCCGAAGGGCTGTATCTGTCCAAAAGCTGTTTCTGCAGCTGCTGATTCGCTGACACTCCACAGACCTCCTGGTCTCTGCAGCTGCAGCAGCTTATGTCTCTTCCAAGGCAGTGTTTCTCTTCAGCAGCCTTGTCATGCTTGTTAAGTTATATAGCTGCACAACAGTCTCCTCCCCACCTTTTAGCTGATTCGAGAAAACCACTGAATCAGCAGTAGGCTTCTGCCCTGTTTCAGCATTGGAGACATATGCTTCCCTAGCAATGAAGGACAGTGTTTACACATGTAAAGGTTCATCTATAAAGGGAAATGCAACGCATAGGGGAAATTCATTCCTTGCTTGTGATTGTGTTTAAACAAGGAACAGAATTTGATTTAACTGAATTTCTTTTATATTTGGCAGGTCATCCTTAAAAATTAACCTGAACATCTACCAATTTTCCTCAGAGCTGGATAACATTCAATCTTAAAATTCAGACTAAGTGTGGAATAAAACTAGCTCTTTATTTTTAACAGAGACTATGCAAAGCTAACATGAGCATCTTACCCCTGGTGTAGTAATGGGAGAATATTCACAAATAGCTGGTAAATTGAATGAGTGCTTAGGCAAGAGTCATCTAATGCAGTTGGACCTTTTACTAGAAGTTCTAAATGAAGTACAGTTTGTTCAGTGTTTATTTTAGTGGGTTTGGGATAATTAAAAAGCAACTCTCCAGGGCAAGCTTTGTTACTTAAGAACATTCGTATGAGAGCCCTTTGCCGGTTGTATAAGAACTGTTCACTTCTGTCTGCAAGAACATCATGAATTTGGATTTGCTGAGGCATGTCAGTCTCCTGTTAGGCCTCATTTTAAGCTATGGTTCTCTTTAAACTATGGTTTTAGGAGATCTACAAGAAACTGTCTGTGACAGCAGGATTTCTACTGAGGTAGAGGCCACACCACACTCCTCTCTGTTGGTGCTATTGGGGTTATTTCTACTGTGAACTGTGCTTTGCAGTAGTCAGTTTGCCTTTTGTACGTTAACAGATTCCAAATATATGTGAATATGATGGGACCTAGTGGAACTTATTTATCTGAATTCTTCTAGTTCTGTCACTTGTTCAAATTAAGCAATAATTATTAATGTAGTTTAAGTCTTTCAGGTTCTCTCTTCCAAAAAACTTTGACCAGCAACATATACCATTATAAGGTGTTTTGAGATTCATAACAGAAAAGTAGTATATAAGTGCCAGATATTTACTGTTTATCTTCATGCTTAGCATCTCAATATTAAGGACTTCAAACTTCACCATTCCTCTTTAGTCTCTTATTTATTTATTTTATCATTGAAATTTGCAGCTTTTTGAAACTGAATTAAAGCAAAGTGCTAATAAAGTGCAGGAACTAAAGGACAAAGTAACAGAGCTGCTGGAGAAGAACTCTGACTCTCCCGAGGCACCTAAGTGGAGACAAACATTGGATAAAATAGGTACTTCAGTAAAGCTGTATCATAGATCAGTGATTTGGAAGTTGTTTTATTACGAACTTTTTAATGTATTACCAATCACTAGTATTTTTAGTATTTTTCTCCCTCCTACCCCTTAAATTCTGTGGAAATAACTCCCTTAACAGGAGTATAGATCTGGAGTAATGATAGTGATGTCCACAGGCTTTGCATTTGTATCAGTGCAGTTGAGAGAGGCTATAGCTTGACTCCCTGCTTTAGAGGGCTTTACCTTTTATCTGCAGTTAAAACTTGACTGACCAGTTGCTACTCAAGATACATGTTTTATTCTTCTTACACAATACAACAGATTAAGTTGATTCTAATTTCATGTAAAGAACAGTTTGAGTTGTTGGTAATGCTCTTTTACATGTTTTTTTTCCCCATGAACTAATGGCTTTTGTCATTTGGTAGGTTTGGTAACCTTTTACTGTTTTCTAAAACTGATTCTATACATTTTGCCAAAAAAAAGGGGGGAAATGACCATGTTTGGACAGTAGATTTTGAGATATTGCAGTGCATAATTGTCATAAGCTTTTAAAGATTCTTTTTAGGTTTGCCATATTTTAAATAAATTATAGGTCAGTCTTGTTCCATAGTGATAGGCATTTCTATAGCTACACCAACAGTAACGTCGAAGCTGAGGATTTTTCCAGTCTGTCCTGTTTTAAGTGAAACTCTGAAAAGTTTAAGTAGCAGGTAAGATCTCCAAGAGATCTTTTGTAATGTTGAAAGGGAATTAATACAGAATGAGCAGAGGTCAAAGACTGTGAAGCAGCAAAAAGGAATTGAAAAAACCAAAGATGAAGATCAGGGACAGGGAGAATTAGCAAGATACCAGAGCTGACTGAGCAAGCACTGACAGTTTCACAGAGGGGAAGGGGAAAGTTGCAAGACTGTAAGACTCAATGTCTCCTCTGGAAGCCACTTGCCACAAGTGGAAAAGACCATATGTTGGCGTAGATGTGAACCTAAGCTCACACAGTACTTTTGCAATAGCTATGTGCAGAAGTATTCTCATTGCCTGTCATTAGGTACCTTGTTTAGATGTCTAAATGAGACAGGTAATCTCCACAGGCTTTGAAAGCAGATGTTTGAAAGAGTTTGAGAGAGTTTGAAAGAGTTTGAAAGAGTTAGGCTTTTTCAGACAGCTGTTCAAAGTTGAAGCCTAAATTAGGGTTTCTGCTAACCCTTATAAAGGTATGAGGTTTTTTTACTGAATAAGAAGGAAGATTTGTCTCTCTAGATCAGGCACCTGAGTTATAACTGAGTACAGCCCTCTGGCTTTAATGTCATTTGAGACCAAAGCCTAAATTTAGGGGTATTTCATTTAGTAATATGCTAGTCCAGTTTTATTACATGTTGTATATTCATTGGTCTAAAAATTCCACAAGTGTCTGACCTTCATCCAAATGTATATGGGTCTGACTGTTAAAATATGTATTTGCCGAGTCACTGCAATAAGGCATCTGGAGTTAATCATCAAAAAGCCTTATGAGAGAGCTCTCTTTATGTTTCATATATAGTCTGCTGTCTGACAACCCATCTGCTAGAATATGCATGCAATATGTTAACATTATCATTGTTAGATTCCAAATGGAAAGAGCTCAATCAAGTTACATCTGAGAGACAACAAAAACTGGAGGAGTCATCAAACTACCTGACCCAGTTCCAGACAGCAGAAGCCCAGCTAAAGCACTGGCTTGTAGAAAAAGAGCTGATGGTCAGTGTGCTGGGACCACTATCAATTGATCCTAATATGCTGAATACACAAAAGCAACAGGTTCAGGTGAGTAGTGCCAACATACATTATTGATTTCCATTTCTTCTGGTATTTTTCTATTAGCAAAGTACTGTTTTGCATCTAGAGTAGATAGTGGTTAGTATGATCCATTAGATTTGTTTATCAGCTTAAGTCATAGTTGACTACAGTAATTACAAGAAAAAATTATCATAGGAATGAAGAGAGATCAGTACAGCTAAAGGAAAAAATGTTGAGAAGATACTGATCCTCTGATAGATTTTTTTTTTGTTTTGACCGTAGTGTGGTTTCTCTGGAGTGGAATGAAAATATCTCTTTGGATTTTATTAATTTGACATCTTATGGTCATTCTTTATTACAGTCTAGGCTTAGAACTAGCTTTTTGAGATTTTATTCAATAGACTGTGCCAGTAGCTAACAAAAATACAAAGGCAAGTGAAATGCAATACTGTGGATAGATATGAGGCCAAGGGTGTAAAAAACAGAAGAAAGTATAATGAAAAAGTGGAGCAGTTTGCTGACAGCAATACAGCAAACTGCAAACAAAAGAAACAAAAGTGAAATCAGATGAGGTTTCATAATGTAGAAATTTTAATTTCAAACATTTCTATTGCTGCCAGGTAATCTAAACTGATGAGAAAAAACATATTTTTTGCAAAAAATTATTAAAGCTGCAATATAATTATTGATTAAAATGAAGTGCTTAAAACATGAACTGTGTTCTAAGATTATGTGAAAATGACTCAAAATTGGTTTGTAAGTGCTTCAAAAATCTAGACTGATGGCATAAAACCATAGTGTATCACTTAACAGTCCTTAAAAGTTCAACCTAATTGACTTAAAAAGAAAGGGTTTGGAATGTTCTGTAAAGTAAAAGCATTATATTTTTCCCTTCTTCTGCAAGCACTGTGACTTACTGTCAAAAAAAAAATACCAGAAACCAGTGATATAAACTTTAAAGGTCTCAGAGTACACATTCAGTAATTTTGTGAATTATCCAGGTATTTTCTGTGCTTTAATAATGCATTGCAGTATTATGTCAGAATACACCTTCTTTGAAGTTCTATCTTAAGAGAAATACCAAAACTGTCTAGGAAAGAAGACACTACTTGAAACTAAACAGCACTTACTTTACTTGGTGTGGTTACTTAATTACTGTGATATCAACAGAATTCATTGTTTAGTTGTATCTCCTGGTTGAATTTCCATTAGATGATATGTAAATTCACCTCATTTTTTTCTGGTTCTTTGATGTAAATGCTTAAAAACAACACAGTTTATGTGTAGAAGGTGCCTTTATTTCACTGGCTTTTAAGGTCAGAGATTGATTAGAGAGCTTAGATACAACAAATTCTACATGATTTTTGTCAGAAGCACTTTTCTTTTTCTCATGAGGTAAATGCTTTTTAAAATTCTCTTTTTCTAGATTCTGCTCAAAGAGTTTGACACCAGAAAACCACAGTATGAGCAGTTAACTATGGCTGGTGAAGGGATTCTGAAGAGACCTGGTGAACATCCACCCTCACATGAAATTGTAAAAGAGCAACTGGCAGCTGTGGCACAGAAATGGGACAGTCTAACTGGCCAGCTGAGGAAGAGATGTGACCGAATTGACCAAGCCATTGTGAAAAGCACAGAGTATCAAAGTCTACTCAGAACTCTATCTGATAAGCTAAGTGCCTTGGATAATAAGCTAAGCAGCAGCCTGGCTGTGAGTACACAACCTGATGCTGTGAAACAACAACTGGAAATTGCTAGAGAATTGAAGGAGGAAATAGAACAGGAAATGAAGAATATAAATGCCGCGCAAACCCTTTGTGAAGAGCTGTCAACACTAGTTGGGGAAGAGTATTTGAAAGCAGAACTTACAAGACAGCTAGATGGCATCTTAAAATTGTTTAAGGATATTGAGCAAAAATCAGGTTAGTATTTACTTAAAGAAAAATAGTAATTAAAGCATAAAGTTAAACATGACTTTATGATAGAGATATTGAGTTAACTGAGCCTGATGCCAGCTCTCTATCTAGTCCATTCCCCAAGCAGTTGTACGTTAGAATTTGTGAGAGTCCCCATACCTTGAAAAAGTAAGAACACTACTTGGGATCTCTACTGAAAAGTTTTGGAGAGAATTTGAAGTACAGTAGCAGGACTTCTTTTCTCATCTCTTCCTTCCTCACCTTCACTGAATTAGAATACCAAAAGAGGATGCTGTTCATTGAGCTGTCTAACTTCATTGGGGCAGATGTAAGCCAAAATCATAATTTTTAGGCAAGAACCCCTTAATGTCTTGGAGGAACACAGTGACAATTGTATAAAACTGCCTGTGACATAAGGGGGCATGTAGTCTGCAGCCTTCCCTTACCCTGTGAGCACAGAACTGAGCAAGTAATACACTGCAAGTGATATCATGCTTTGTTGTCCCTAGCAGCCTCAGTTTTAGCTTTTTAATTTCCTCTGGTCGCAAGGAACTTCGAAGGATCTTCCTAAGAACACATATTGCCTGCAGGCCATGAGTTAGACACTACTAGGTTAGACCACTTAATATTCTCTGTGCTTACACTTCATAATACCATAAAACACGATTGTGTGGTTTTTACCCCCAAAACCTGCCTGAAGGGGATTCATGTAGACACAAATTGGCTAAGCTTACCTTGTTTGATTCATGTTCTAATGCCTTCACTGCTCTGCTGTATAATAGACATGAGTCTGTCCCTTGCAAAAAGCTTCGTTGACTTGGTTGTCTGCCAGTCAAACACCACATTCAAAGGACCAGCTTTCCTTACATTAATGATTATGTAATTGTGTAATAGAATCAATATTAGGTTTTTTTTCCATTGAATACTAGCAGATCTGACAAAATGAATCTCTGTAATGTCTTCTCTTTTGTAGATAACCATGTTCAGCAGCTTCAGTCAGCATACACCACTTCTCATCAGTTCCAGCAAATGTCTAAGGACTTTCAGACCTGGCTAAGCAAAAAGAAAGAAGAGCTGAACCAGGCTCGTCCTGTGTCAGCCAAACTTGATGTCTTGCAATCACTAATTGAAGAGCAGAAAGAATTTAAGAAGACAATGACTGATCAGATTGGTTCATATGAAAGAATTGTTGCAGAAGGAGAAAGTATTTTACAGAAGACTCAAGGAGCTGACAAAGCAGCATTACAATCCCAAATTGCTACGCTCAGAAATAACTGGGATGAAATTAATAAACAGGTAAAAGAAAGGGAAGATAAATTAACAGATTGTCTGGATAAAGCCTTCAAATACAAGGAGCATGTAGAAAATCTGCAGCCATGGATACAGAAGTGCCAAAGCAACCTGTGTGAATTAAAAGTTGGCATAAACCCTATTGAAATAGAGAATTCTATTGCTCAGGTGAGGGCATGGCAGAAGGACCTGGATAAACACCATGGGATGGTGGAGCTATTAAATAATTCTACTGAAAGTTTGCTCAGGGCAAGTCAAACAGATAAAGAAATTATTCAAGAAGAAACGAAGGTGCTGAATCAGAATGTGAATGTGGTTACAGAACAGTTACATAAGAAGAGAGAGTGCTTGGAAAATATGGCACAAAGACTGAAAGAGTTTCAGGAATCATCCAGGGAAACTGAAAAACAGCTTAAAAGTGCCAAAGAGCATCTGGAAGCTCATGACTCACTTGGACCTCAGTCATTCAGCAACAAACACCTGACAATGATGCAGGCCCAGCAGAAAGCCTTGCAGGCTTTAAAGCCTCATGTCGATCTAGCAAAAAAGCTTGCCCAAGACCTGGTAGTAGAAGCTTCTGATTCAGCAGGTGTTTCTGACCTTTTGCTCCAAGCTGAATCTTTGGAGCAAGAATACACTGCAGTGAACAAGCAGGTTGAAGATAGGTGCTCATTCTTAGAGACAAAACTTCAGGGAATCGGCCATTTCCAAAACAGCATCCGAGAGATGTTCTCTCAGTTTGCAGAGTTTGATGATGAACTTGATAGCATGGCTCCAGTGGGGAGAGATCTCAAGGTATTGCAATCACAGAGAGAGGACTTAAAATATTTCCTGAAAAAGTTGGAGGATCTTATAATGAATAATGAAAATGCTAATAAAAATTGTAAAATGATGCTAGCCACAGAAGCTGAAGCTTCTCCTGACCTTGTTGGTATAAAGAGAGACTTGGAAGCTTTAAATAAACAATGCAACAAGCTACTAGACAGAGCAAAAGCCAGGAAAGATCAAGTAGAGGATACTATTTGCCGTGTTGAGGAGTTTTATAGTAAGCTAAAAGAATTTTCCAATCTGCTTGGGAGAGCCGAAGAACATGAAGAGTCACAAGGTCCTGTTGGAATGGAAACAGAGACAATTAATCAGCAGCTGAATACATTCAAGGTAGGAAGATTACTTTCTTGCTACTATAAAGTATTTTACCACAATACAACTTTATTAAACATCATAGGGAAAGAGATTGGTTACATGCAGACCTTGGAGGAATCTTGTTTCACAGCAGTCTGTTCTGCCTGTATGCTTTTTATCTGTTTTAAATTAGTATCTTCTCATGGGTCCTCAAAAGCTTTCCTTTGCTACAGCTTGGCAGATACTGCAAACTTTGCATCCCAGCTCCTAGTTCCTGCACTCCAGTTCCTTCTTCACCTCTCTTCATTATCTTGTTACCCTCTGTAATCCATCTGCCTTTTCCATTTTTGGGAAACTGTGTATTGTCTCTATTTGATGTCCATGTATTGCACAACTTTTTTCTTCACTGTGGTGTGAATTTTAGACTCCAGTATTCACATACTAGACCACATTCACTTTGCTCATCTGAGTAGTTTAGGGTTTTTTTTTCACATGGGTATAGGCTTCAGCATATGTAGATTTAAGATGTTACTTTTTGCCATTTTGTCTTCTGATACACTGGCCAGTTTTACCTCACTGAGTGCCACCCTTACCTAGAAACATCCTAGTAAAAAGACAACAGGCAAAATGAGCCCCCTGTTATACTGGGAGTTTGCTGTAGCATCCTTATCCAAAATGTGCTGTGGAGCTTCTGTGTGTAGCTTTTATAATATGGCAGTAAGCAATCCTTGTCCAGCTCAAAAAAATGCATTACAGTGATAGTGAGTGTTAACTGAGCTTTGGTGCTGAAATGAAGTACAGACATTTGCTTGGTTTAGGTTATAATTAATGAATTTCCAGTGCTCAGTAGAAAGATTTATAAATCCTATAGATGTAAGCAGTGTTTGAAGAAGATCATAAATTTCCTAATTGCTATATGGTAGCACCGAATATTCTGTGCTGCTTTGGTTTCATTCCAATCTAATATTGATTCAAATGTTTGTATGACTTGTACATTAGTTGACCCCTAATGATAAAACCAAACCTTCATAACAGGATTCGATAAGCTATGCTGTTAAAAATTTGATGACCTTGGAAAACAGTCATAACACATAGAATCAACTGGGTTGGAAAAGACCTCTGAGATCAAGTCCAACCCTTGATCCAACACCACTGTGGTTACTAGACCATGGCACTAAGTGCCACATCCAGTCTCATCTTAAAAACCTCCAGGGAGGCTGAATCCACCACCTCCTTGGGCAGCCCATTTCAATGTCTGATTACTCTCTCTGTAAAAAATTTTTTCCTAATATCCAACCTAAACCTCCCCTGGCAGAGTTTAAGATCATGCCTGGGAGAAGAGACTGATCCCCACCTGGCTACAACCTCCTTTCAGGTAGCTGTAGAGAGTGATGAGGTCTCCCTTGGGCCTAACTATATTCCTAAACTCTTCCTGAGTAGCCAGCCCTTTTTTCCATAGTCAGTAAGCTCTCTTTTTTCCCCTAATTTCCTTCAAAATCTCCCTGTTCAGCCAGGCTGGATGTCTTTACTGCCAGCTTGCCTTTCGGCACACTGGGACAGCCTGCTTCTGTGCATTCAAGACTTGCTTCTTGAAGCATGTCCATCCCTCGTGGACCCCTTTGTTTTCAAGGGCTGTTTCCAAGGTATCCTCTGAACCAGTCTTCTTAGTAGGCCAAAATCTGCCCTCCAAAAGTCCAGGGTAGAAGTTTTATTGATGGCCTTCTTTGTGTCCTTGAGTATTGAAAACTCAATTATTTCATGGTCACTGTGCCCCAGATGGCCTCCGACCACCACATCTCCCACCAGCCCCTCTCTGTTTGTGGACAGCAGGTCTAGCAGGACCCCACCCCTGGTAGGTTCATTTACCAGCTGGAGCAGGAAATTATCCTCTATACACTCTAGGAATCTCCTAGACTGCCTCTACTCTGCTGTGTTGAGTTTCCAGCAGACATCTGGCAGGTTAAAATCACCCACAAGGAGAAGGGCTGGCGATTTTGAGATGCCTCCCAGCTGCTTGTAGAATAATTCATCACCCTCATTCATCCTGGCTGGGTGGTCTGTAACAGACTCCCACCAGGATGTCAGCCTTGTTGGCCTTCCCCCTGACTCTGATCCACAGGCACTCAACCTTATCATTACTGACTTCAAGTTCTACAGAGTCAAGAGACTCTCTAACATACAGAGCCACTCCTTCACCTCTCCTACCTTACCTGTCCCTTCTGAAGAGCTTGTAGCCATCCATGGCAGCACTCCAGTCATGCGAGTTATCCCACCACGTTTCCATGATGGCAACTACATCACAGCTTTCCTGCTGCACAGTGGCTTCCAGCTCCTCTTGTTTGTTGCCCATATTGTGTGCATTGGTGTACATGCACTTCAGCTGGCCTGCTGATTTCACTTCTAACTCTGTCTTTCCACCCTTAGGTTCATCTCTGGAGAACTTTGTTTCAACCCTTTCCCCCTTCAAACATAGTTTAAAGCCCTCCTGATCAGCCCTGACAACTTATGGGCTAGAGTCCTTTTGCCCTTGCTAGATAGATGAAGCCCATCTAACTCGAGCAGGCTCAGTACCATAGAATTTGCCCCATGGTTGAAAAAACCAAAATTCTGCCGGTGGTGCCAATCCTTTAGCCACCTATTGATAAGGTGAGTTTTCCTACTCCTCTCCTCATTCATCCCTGCTACTGCAGGAACTGAGGTGAACACCACCTGTGCTCCTGTCCCATTAACTAATAACTAATCGACCCAGTGCCTTGAAGTCCTTTTCATTAGCCTGGTACCTCTTTCATTAATGTCATCACTGCCAGCCTGGACCAGCAGCAGTGGATCAGAGGGCCAGATTAGTTCAGGGAGTCTCCTACTAATATCTCTCACCCAGGCCCTGGGAAGGCAGCAGACTTCCCTATAGGATGGGTCCAGTCTGCATATAGGGCCTTCAGTTCCCCTCAGAAGGGAGTTGCCTACTACAATTACCCTTCTTTTTTTCTTTATAGCTGTGGTTGTATCCGTCTGGTAGATGGGGTGCAACCTGAAGACCCTCTAGACAGATCCTCTTCTTGACTGCCCTCTGCCTGACTGGGTCCAGGGCCTCAGACCTGTTCTTTAAGGGCACCTGGGGAGGTGATGGAGGTCGAGAGGGGATTCCTTTACCTCTTCGATTGGGGACCTGTTTCCATTTCCCCCCCATCTAGTTGGTTTGCTCCATCTGCCTGATGGCAGGAGGGGCAGGGCACCACTGTCTGCTGATGGACTTCCTTTGGAGTCGAAAGGGTATGACTCCACCAGTCTATTTCCCTTTCACTTTCCCTAATACTTCTTAGCCTCTCCACTTCTTCCTTGAGCTCTGCCACTAAGCACAGCAAATCATTCTCCTGCTCGCATCATACGCAGGTGTCTCTCACACTGTTCTCTGGTACCAACACCAGGCTCAGACACTCTGTGCAGCCAGTCATTACATGCCTGGCCCAACAGAGGGTGCGTTTTGCTTGTTTAAGAAAGGAAAACTAAACCAGAAAACTTTCATCTGGGAATTTCGAATGGAAGTTACTGTGAGTTTTGATGATCTTTAGGAATGCATAAATAGAGATGAAAATCTTGAACAAATAGTTACATAGTAAATCCTTCCATGTAGACTGGGAGGATTAAAATTGTATGCCAGTCTGTCTCAAATTCAAAAAGAAACAAATGGCTTTTCTTTGTATATGGTTTGTAAAACACTTTGGATATTGGAAAATAACAACAGCTGCTGCCTACACTGACTGTACAGGATTTCAGTTGTAGCCAGTTTGAGATTTTACGGCATTTCTTACATTTTCAAACTTCAGGTGCGGCTTCAGGTCTTTGTTAATATATGGTTCTTTGTCTACAAAGAACAATGCTTCTAGGAGGTAGCAGCCTGATGAGCAGATGGTAGAAGAACCCAGTTCCCTGTGTGTTGTGTCAGTGATGTAGTTTGTTTATGACTTGAAAACAACACAGCAATTGTACAGGTTGGGAGTAAGAGCCTTCTCTGGTCTGTGCAGACTTGTGGGGAGACAGTGTCCCCACAACACAAGAGTTGGTGTGGTAAGAAGACCAAAAAACCTGAGGAGACAAAGAAGAACAGTAATAGCAACGTTTATATCCAGAAGTATACTCTGGGACTGTATTTATGTTAGATATTTATAAGTTTAGAAATCTGTTTTGCTTGAAGCAACTGTTTTAGGCCATGCTTTTGCTTATGAGTAAAAAACACAGTGCCATTAAACAGGAGGTAGAGGAAGATGGAAAGACGAAGGGATTGTTTAAATAAATGAAGAGCAAATGCAGAAATAAAGCAGCAGAGTGAGGAGTCTTTGAAGAAAGGAAATAGGGAGATCAGAATGGGAAATTTTATTAGGTGAGGATGTAGTTAGTGAAGGGAGAATGATAGCAGGAGGATAAGGATCAACTTTCCCAATACTTGATGTCAGTGCTACTGGGACATATCAGAATTACAGTACGTAATCTACCTGTTCATACTCTTTACCCTTCTACCTGAGACAGCAAACTGTAGGAGGACTGGCTCCCACAAATCCTGCTCCACTTGTGGTGTATTTACTCATGTTTGTGCACGTACGCAAACACACACAACGTGAAAATGTGATTGTGGCCACAGAAACACAGTCTGTCTCCTTATGGCTTTAGCTTCTGTGGTCAGCTACAATCAACTTCTATTCCTCAAGAGTAAAGCAAAAGAGTTGTTCTTTGGTATAGGTGTATTCGCATGAAATCTTCACTTTCTTCAGGGGAGGATCTCGTGTAATAGGCCAGAGGTGGTTTATGTGGTTTGACCAATTTTCATGTACAAAGAGTACACGATGTTAAAATGCATATTAAAAAAACCCCACAACTGGCCTTGAATTGTATATGTATATCTAAATACATATGCATACTTGTTTTATTTATATTTCTTCTTCGTAATCTACTTATTCCAGTCAGTATAGAGTGTTAAATTGAGTAGTTACTGTCAGTGTTAAACAATGTTTATTTACAATGCAGATACAAAATTTGCTTTC